AAATTAGGCTCCAGAGCTGACCAATGGACTGTGTCCCATAATCAGCCAATACAAATTAGCAGGGCTGCATCCCTCCTTTACATAGGGGGACCTGAAAGGGAACTTGGGTGGGAAGTTAGGGTGGGAATTTCGGCTATAAAGACTGCCTCTTTCCTTTGCTCAGGGAAACACTGGTCTATGAGACTTCACTCCCCAGTGCTCTCCTTGCTTGCAAGCAAAAAGGCTCTGTAACACTGAACAAAGAGCTGTAACACCAAATAAAGCACTGTAAAACTGCAACACTGACGCCAGTCTTGGATTCCTCTGTGCGATCTCCCCCACAACAAAAAGAACCTGATGAAGCAAAAGCTGTTATTATATATTTCTAAATAAAGTTTTCCCCAAAATTAACCATGAGAAAAGTGGGAGTCACTTTATGTTTGAGTCCTTACAAAGACCGCCCTATTGAGGGTATTACTTTATTTTAAATCACAAAGTAGTTTAAGCAGCTGTCCCAATGTTATGCAAATAGTGCCCATGATATGGGATTGCATAATATTTAGGCATTTATGGTATTATTTCCATTTTACAGATGAGGAAATTTAAACCTGAAGAAGTTAGATAATTTGCCCAAGTAAGTGATATAGTCAGGATTCAAACCCAGGCTTATCATCTTATCACATCCTCATTATTAATCATCCTGAGATTCTTTTTTCTGCCTTTAAAAAGGTTCTATCTAGGGAGTCACTGATCTTTTCCTTCCTTTTTATTGAGGTCTCATTTCTAAGAGCAGAGAAGAACAGAAAATGTATATCCATCCAGTCTGGAGCCAGGCTTTTATGGGTAGCAGTAGAAAGGTCTAGTTCACCTTTCAAGCCAAGGTGGCATGGGGCTCCCTCTGCTTCATCCTGGCTGGATGAACACCCTGCTTCAAAAAAACGTGCCTGGATTTGTCTCTTATTAGCTTTCCTTTCCTTTCCAATAAGCATTTTATTTTATTTTTATTTATTTATTTATTTTTTATTCCTTTTTGTCTTTTTCCGTGACTGGCAACGGATCGCAACCCTCAGTGTCACGCCCGTACCGGACTGGGACCGGCAACGGGATCGCAACCCTCGGTGTCACGCCCGCACCTCACTCAGCCAGTGAGTGGCCGGTCTGTATGTGGGATCCGAACCCTCGCTGGGAGCGCCGCCGCGCTCCCAAGCGGCGCACTGTAGCAGTGCACCACCGGGCCGGCCTTATTTTAGAAGAGTTTTAGATACACAGAAAAGTTCCCAAGATAGAACAGAGAGTTTCTGTATATCCTTCATTTTATTGTTAAAACCTTATATTACTGTGGTACATTGCCAAAACTGAGAAACCAACATGGGTACATTACTATTAACTATAAACTCCAGACTTTATTCAGATTTCATTAGTTTTTCCCTAAAGTGCTTTCTGTGTTCCAGAATCCCATCCAGGATACCACATTACATTTAGTAGTTATGTTTCCCGAGTTTCACTTGGTGTGTGACTGTTTTTCAGTCTTTCCTTATTTTTTATGACCTTGACAGTGTTGAGCAGTGGTCAGTCATTTTATAGAATATACCTCAACAGGGATTTCTCTGATGTTTTTGTCATGGTTAGATTGAGGTTATTGATTTGACGGAAGAATACTACAAAAGTGAAGTGCATTCTCATCACATCATATTAGGGACAGATGACATCATCTCAGGGACACTTGACACCAATATGATTTATCACTGGTTATGTTAACTTTGATCTCCTAGCTAATGTTATGTTACTCCTCCCCTTTCCTTTCCACATGCTATTTTTTAGAAGCAAGTCACTATGTGCAGCCCATATTCAAGAGGTGAGGGGAATTAAGCTCTGTCTCCTGAAGGGTAAAATATCTACACGAGTTCTTTGCAATTCTGTAAGGAAGATTTATCTCTTCTCCCACATTTATGTTTATTCAATAACTTATTTATATCAATATGTACTAATATTTATCATATACTTTGGATTGTATTAAATACTACTTTATATACTTTGCTCAAATTGTTCCCGCTTTGTTCACTGAGAAGTGTTTCAGTTGACTTCTGTGTCCTTTTGACATGTCCCTATCCTTTTGTTTTTTGAGCACTTTCTTACGTTCTGGCACTACAAGATCTTCCAGGCTCATGTTGTATTTTCCCTGCCCTATCCCTAGAATCAGCCATTTCCCCAAGGATCCCCGATTCCTTTTATTGGAAAATGATATTAGAAACTAAGATCTGGTCACTGAGTGTCCTCATTGCTACTGGGTGTCACTACTTCTAGATCCTTTCAGTGGACAGTTAGGAAATACATGTATGTATGCCAGCCCATGTTACATACATGTCTACAATTATTTCTGGATTTGTCCATATGTATGTACAGTAAAGCTTTTCTTTTTTGAGCATTTATATTTTTCAGAGTAGCCAACAGTAAGAGTATGAATCACTGCCTTCTACCACCAGTGGTAAAGTTTGAAAAAGGAGGAAGGGAGGAAAAGAAAGTAAAAGTGGAGACCCAGGGATAATGTGACTTCTTGCTCAGCCACCCTCTAGTCAGATCATGTCATCTTAGAGATGAAGAGATCCTGAGGTTAAGAACTAGTTGGTGGAACAATTAGAATTGGAATCTGGCTTTTTGAAATGGAATTTCTTTATTTCCACTACATCCCTTGCCTATTGAAGAGGGGTCAGTATTCTTGGCTTTGTACTCAACTCGATTATTGGCTTCTTGGGATGCCTTAAATGGATTTAGAATGTAATTTTAGAAATTAGTATGTACATCGGAAGTCTTCAGACACATCACTAATGAGGGCTTTTGTTCTCTAACACACATCATAGATCAGTGACTTGAAAATGAAGCTTTTGAAGGCCGGATGTTAGTGAATGTGTCTTTACAAATGATTACCTTACCCTGTTTTACTTTTTATAATTATTCTTATTATTATTTTGTTTTTGTTTTCCCCCTCTGGGGAGAGAACCATAAGGCTTCTATAGGATAGATACTTTATGTATATACCTGCTTTTTAGAAATGAGATATAAAGCAATGAAGGAGTCTGCTTTTTGTCATCCAGGGAGTTGGTGATAGAGTAAAAAGCAAAAACAAAAGCTGCAGACTTCTCAGCCCTGTTTTAATAGGACAACCACATGACTCCTTTCTTTTCAATTACTTTTGGCAGCTTGTAAAGCAAAGAAAGAACACTTGATGGTTCCTCTCAAGAGACTCCTTAGGCTATAGGACAGTCCTAGGATCCTTCAAACCTTTGGGCCCCTTGCTATTTTTGAGGAGTGTGTGTGTTTATACTTGGTAAATCATGCCTTGTCACCATGTAAAAGTAACATCTCTGGTCTGTTCTTTTCCATTTTTACCTTATCTATTCCAAAATGTTAGCATTTTATTTTTGTGTGATACATCGTGAACATCCAAGATTTTAAGTTGAAATAAATGATAACAGCTGGCTTTTTGTGTACATAATATACTTGTGAACCTTAACCTTGAGATGCTATATCCACATTTTTCCAGGTGTGGAAATGACTTGACTAGAAAAGCACATTTTGTGTAGTCATCACAATACAAAACAACATTCAGCTGTTTGCTGTGAACTTTCTCTTCAGAAGATGGAGTTTTTTTAGCTCTTTATTCCAATATTCCTTCTTAACTTTTAGACTTTTCCCATGTAAAATAGTGCATTTTCACACACAGAGACACACACATACCCTAAAGTCACATCTTCTTTTCCTGCTTTATTTTTCTCCATAGCACTTAACCACCATTTAATATACTACATATTATACTTCCTTGCCTTTTTAGTTGTCTGTTTTCCTCAACTAGAATGTAAATTCTGTGAGAGCACAGAGTTTGTTTTGTTCACTGCTGTATCCCTAGACCTAGAATAGTACCTAGAACATAGTAGGTGCTCAATGAACACTTATGAATGAATAAGGTAAGTTGCAAGTTGTAATCATTTGGCCCCTGATTTGAATATAAGTACAAATAGTGAAGTTTTATTTTATAGGTTTATATTATAAGTGACATTAAATCACATTATTTTAAATGGGGATTTATCTATTCAACAAAAATCTCAGAATTTATGCTAGAAATGTGTGTAGTTTCTTGTAAGTTATGCAGTTACTCCAGTAATGCAATGCTATTATCACATGCAAGAAATTTTGAAGTTCTCTGCTAAATATCCCTCAAGAAGCTGGTAGAAGAGCTAAAACCAGAATTTATTTTTAAATTTTAAGGTGAGTTGACTATCTGTATTTGTGTACAACATGTGATGATCGAATCAGTATTACTAGCATGTTCATCATTACAAATAGTAATTATTCTTTGTTCCTTACCCCATAAATATGTATAATCAATTATGTTTCAATTAAAAAATAAATTTAAAACAATTTTTAGGGTGAATTACCTTCAGACTTACCGAAAGAAATTTTGAACCCTAAGCAGCATTACCCAATTTGATCCCTTATTCTATTCACCAGATCTAGCAGAAAATGACTTTTGTCATTATAAAAAATATTCTGACTAATATTTGCCAATATAGAGAATATTAAAAAGAGTATGCTGCAAAACTTGAGGTTAATCCTTTGAAGGAGTGTCAGCATTCATTTGTATATATAGATGCTGCCATGTTTGTTTGGTTTTTAAATCATATTACTTTACAAGTATACAATTTTTTATTTAAAGTTTCTAGTGTCCAAAGTTGTTATTTTGGACACTAGATTAGTGGACTCTTATTTATTTAAGCAATAGTAAGGTGATATAAAAGGGTCTGCAACTTGACTAGCCATTTTATAAACTGGGTCTTTCAAAACAAAAACTCTAATGCCAAACTTTTTGCAGCATTCTCTCTAGGACAAGAAACACACACACAAAAAGCAATGTGGTCTGTGAACATCACAGACTTGTTTGCAAGCTATCTTTGGACTAATATGGTGCATAAGTGATGCCTTTGTACATGATTGACATATTTTCATATTATCACTTTTTATTTCAGAGCATTGGGGAGTCGACGATGTCTGTTGTGCTAAATCAGCTGCTGCCCATGATTAAGCCTTCAACCCAGAGGACCAATGAGGACTATAGCCCTGATGATCTGCTGATCCTACTCATATACATTTATTCTGTAACTGGAGAGTTCACAGTGGACAAAGACCTGGGTGAGGCTGAAGAAAAAGTGAAGAAAGCATTGGCTCAGGTCTTCTGTGAGGAGTCTGAGTTGTCACACTTACTGCAAAAAATCACAGGTGAGTGCTTAACAAAAATATAGGATATAAACATCACCAATACAAAAAAACAGGTTTAAAAATAAAGGCTGTTTCAGGAAGAAGATGGCATCATTTCCATTGGAGCTGTTTGGAATTTCATGTGGGTTGATGAATGCTAGCCAGCTTTTAGGATCAGAGGTTTACGTTGCAGTATTTTTTGTTTTCTTTTTTCTGTTGTGGTAGTGAAATGGCCTTCTTTCTAACTGCTTGTCAGAGTTCATATTTCTTAGAGCCAAAACCTAGTCAAAATAGCAGAATACTCACAGAGCATGATGTTATATTTAAGGAAAAAAATGTTTACATATTCAAAGGGTTTCTATTGACGTATTCTCCTAGAGACTGTCATTTCAAAATTTAAAAACTGTTTCTTTAAGATGTTACACAATGTTGTAGGATTGGAAATTGCCATTTTTAGGAGTAGTTTAATATTTAGACTTATGTTTCATTCTGAATTTGGTTTAATTGATACTATCCAAAATAATGCCAAAACATCCCAATAAAGTAGGCTGTGCTAATTTTAGGGAAAGGTATAATTAAATATCATAAAATCTTACTGTTTTTTACTTCCAATAAGGACGCAAAGAGGCATCCATTTGTGTTATTTTGTATCAAATTCAATATTGTTTTTTATATTTTGTGTAAAGCTAATTCCTGTTAGTATGACTGAGTCTGTTTGAAAGTGAGAAGTTATTAAAACTTATTTAAAGTCTAAATACTTTAAAAACATACCACATTTCTACCCATTCATTCATGAATGTGTGTGGGGGGTATGTATTCAGGTGTACACAGACCTCTTCATTCAGGAAGGCTCAAGTGAAGCATATTACATATTTTCCAACTTTTCCTCTTGTCTTGGGCCTCATTGGAGAGAGTATTCAGATCTCTCAGAAGCAGGCTCTGTAGCTATAAACCTTACCATCCTCTCTGCATGTGTACTTTAATTTGTGCCCACGACTGACCTTTCTATGGTTGGTTATGGAAAATGAAACCCTGACGAGATGGAAACTGAATGAAGTTTCCACAGCAATGAAACATTTCCTTGCTTAGGATGGAACTTGTTTGCCAACTTAAAATCTGCTTAAGAAAAACCACTGGAATTTGTTCCCATTTCATTAAGTACAGCGCTGTATGTGATTATATGTGTGTTTGGCTATAAATGAATATTGACTTAAAAAGGTTTAATATGGCTTATATAGTGCTTAGAACAGTGCTTTGAATTCTAGGAGAATTTAATTGGAAGTTATTCTTTAGATGCATAATTGCAGAAACAGACAAGAATGGTATGTTTTAACTGAGGTTATTTTAATAGCTTTCTTAAGTCATGCTGTAAGAGTATTCACTTAATATTCGCTCAAGGTGTTTATTGACCCAGCATTTTATTTTTTATTAGTTTCTGTATTTATGGTTGATTGCATTTTCTTGCTTTTCAAAACACTTCTGTGCATTCATGTTTATATTAGGAAAATTTGTAAGCTCAGAGGTTGAATATTTAAAAAAATAAGAATTTGTGGAAATTTTAGTGTATTTAAAAATTTTAGAGACATCTTGTTTTATAATACTAAGTATACATTTCTGCCTAGATTAATTTTGGATATACTGTTTGAACAGGGTTGAGAAGATGTGTTACTTAAACTTAACATAAGTGAGCTTACCATTGGAACACACACATGCACACACACACAAATTTATCAGCCTCTGTGGACACCAAAAGAACTTTATTTCTGAAGACAGACTTTTACTTGGCCAGTATAGACATACCCCTTATTAAGTATATTGAGAAGTCAACTGTCCTGAAAAGAAGGGTTTATTTTTACAATTAGCTGCTGACGAGAATAGTTAATCTACATCTCAGGATAATACTAATAGCATAGTATTGTAACAGTGGTGACTCAATCTCATAAAATAAGGGAGGATATCCCCGTATGTATTAGAAGAATGAATTGCCTTCCAAATGTGCTTAGCATATCATGGAGATAGGTTAGGCCAGCTTTTACAGTGAACTTGCTTACAGTACTGTACTTATGCTATTCCAGGTCATAGTCTTGGCTTTCTTGTTACTGAGTGGCTTGCTTACATATTGTTGTTTTATGCCATGTATGCTTAACCATCCCATCATGTTCTTATTTTCTGAACAGAGAATTAATATTCTGGTTATTATTTTAGATATTGCCTGTGTTTTCTAATCTCTCTATATTAGCTACTGTAAATGTTTCCCATACCTTCCTATTTTCATGCATATATCCTCTTCACTTCTTCATTGTTTTAAAGAAATTAAAATATTATTTCTAGCTACTGAAATCTATTGATTGTCTAGCTTTCTATAACACGAGTATTTTATTAGAGAGATAGGAAGAATAGGATCTAGGGTTCAATAGTAATGTGTGGAGACTATATTAAAGAGACTTTGTATCTTTGAATAGCTAGTCAAGATGATGTTGAATGTTCCTAACACAAAGTAGTGACAAATGTTTGAACTGATAGATATAATGAGTACCCTGATATGGTAATTGCACAGAGTATGAATGTACCCAATTATTATATTGTGCTCCATAAATATATAAAATTATCATGGGTCAATTAAGAAAAATAAATTTAAAAAGAGAGAAAAAGAAAGTTTATCAAATATTTTCTTTAAAGATTGTTAAAATTTAACTCATTAGAGACTCATGGGATGCAAGAAGAGCATATATGAACAATTAATTTAAGAATTATATTATAAGCAATTATAATTTATTATTTCAGTAAGTTTTTAAAAATATTGATGAGCAATATCTGACATTATATTCTAATCAGTTGTGTATATGGGTCTCTCCAATAGATGGAGCAATCTCAAGGAGAGGTGACTTTATCTTTTTCTCTTTTGCTTTCCCAGTGCCTTGCATAGTACCTGCCACATGACAATTTCAAGATATTGTTGAATGAATTGCTGGAGATACTAGGCATTGGTTAAATAAATAAGCTCAGGCTGAGAACAAAAAATAAAATAAAAATAAATATGTAAATAAAACTGGACTGTTTCAATAATACCTCTTGACAAGGATTGCCTTGTGTTTAAAATTCATATTTCCTTTTTTCTGTTAAATACGTAATTTACTTCTGACAATCTCTTTCATTTCTCAGTATTTTTCCCTTGTGTGGAATGGACAGGAAAAAGCTGTCATTGTCAAAGCAAAACAAAACAAAAACTTAACCATGGTCAATGGCAGTATAGTATTTTCTTTTTCTTTCTTTCTTTCTTCTTCTTCTTCTTTTTGGCAGTTGGTCTGTCCAGAGATCAACCCTAGACACCTTGGTGTTGTCAGCACCATGGTCTAACCAACTGAGCTAACCAGCCAGCTATTTTCTTTTTGATCTTTTCTCTTTTAAATAGATTCTTTAGGGGAGATTTGTAGAGTTATGGGAAAAAACTCTTTTTTACTCACACGTAATAATAAGGGCTAGCTTTCTGGATGTTGGGGATAGGGAGATGTAAAAAGAAAATTGGTACAGCCTAAATATGTCGATTAGTATTATGTTTTTTTTCAGTCCTGCTAAGTTCAAAGAGTATCAGTTTCCATATACTTTAGTCTTTGCATGTCAGACACAAGAGAAAACAAAGGAAAACAATTTGAACTTTCTTCAGAGATTTAAAAGATCTGTATAAACTTGGAATGTCATCATACAAGGAGGTGTATCAGAAAAAGCATAAGGTTTGGATGTAATAATGATTAGAAGAAGATAATACTGCATGAAGGTAAAAATCTATACTGTATTGTGAAATCTCAGCTAACTACACCACTTTGATCCATTATTTAAGAACATTCTATAAGGAAATGTGAAAAATGGCAACAATTTGATAATTTTGGTATATGTAGCAAGAAACATCAACTTGAAAATAGTTAATGGATTTTAACACTATGTACTTTTGTTGTTACTTTGTTAGGTACAGTATTCATAGCAGTTTTAAGTTTTATTCTTCATTATAAGTAACTTATTACAAATGACAATGTACAAAGTGGATTGAACTTGTGTGTTCCTGCCATTAATGTTGTTTAAGCACAATTTCATGTCCTCTGTATTAGGAGTAGAATTAAAGATTCAATAAAAATTCTAGAGTCCAAAAATAAAAACTAAAATAAATAAATAAAATTCTTTGGTCATCATTAAAAAAAAAAAAAGAATTTCTTGGTGCTCTATTACAACTGCAGATGAGTAGGACCTTCCCTAGTACCACTGAGTCAGACTGACAGCTGAGGCCCGGAATCTGCATTTTTAACAAGCAATATTTGTATAAAAATAAAAGATTTAAAACGACTAATGTAAAAAAATAAATAAATAAAAAACAAAAGTGCTGGCTCTGCCATTTCCTAGCAGTGTGTGTTAATGGGAAAATCACCCCTCCTTGAACCTTGCTAATGAACGTTAACTGTCCTATTGACCACTCATGATTTTGCTGAGAATAAAATGATGCTGTGTATGTGAACTAATTTTTGGTCTATACAGTATTGTGAATAGGTTTTTTTTCCCATTTCATTATTATTTCGATAACGTCCAGCTGTCACATGGAGTACTGCTTCCCAACCATTGTCACATTGTGGTGCACACAGACAATGAGAATGTTGTCATTGTATACTGAGTTAAGTCAATAAGACTATTGTGGTCAGAGGCAACAGCCCTGGGGGCTCTGGCCACTCTAGGCCCCACCCAGTTGATCTGTGGACTGAAGAGAAGCAGTAGCTCAGCATGCCTGTAACCTATTCGGAGCAAACCAGCACCTTAAGGTGTTTAGAAAGCTCTGAATCAGGAAACAAAGAAAAACAAAAGGGCCATAATAATCATATACAGTGTATATTGACAAAATAAAAAATAAAATAAAATAAAAAAAGAAAAAAAAAAAAATTTTAACATACAAAATTATTTTGGAAAAATTTTTTACTAAACAATTTTTATTATTACTCATTGATTTATTTTCCCTGAGTTTTTATAGTATCTCTATTTTTCTGTTTGTTGTTTTAAAGAAAATGAAATTTTATTAATATTATTTTTTACAATCTAGGATGTTGTAGAGCAGTTGGGAGGAAGAGGGAGAGGGGAAAGGGGAAGGAAATGGGATGGAAGAAGGAGTAAGGAGGAGAGGTGGGATTGAGGCCTGTGGCACCCCACTCATTCCCATAGGGGAGACTGGGGGGCTTCCAGCGGTGGCTTGGTCATTGCTAGGCTGGGTGCAGATGTCAGGGGGGGTGTGGAAAAGCCCTTGCCCCACACCATCCCAGCTCGGGAATGCATGGCCCTTCTTGCTGCAGCTTGGTCATTGTTGCTGGGCTGGTTGCAAGTGTTGGGGGCGTGTGGCCAAGGCCCGAGGCCCCCCACTGTCCCTGCTTGGGAGAACCTGCGGCACTTCCTGCAGTAGCTTGGTGGTCATCGCTGGGCTGGTTGCATGTGTCCGGGATGTGTTTCGCTGAGTCCCTTGGCTCCCCACCTCCCCAGGTTGGGAGAGACCAGGGCTCTTCCTGTGGCGGCT